CTCTCTCTCTCTCTCTCCTCCTTTCCCTTAAATGTCATTAGATAAAAATAATATGTCGAAGATTAAGAAAAAGAATTATTTGAGAATTATTGTTCACTGTAAGAAAATATAAGATTCGTAGTAAAATTATCAAAAGTATCATTGTTTGTTCGAATATTTAATGAGGATTAAATAATTTGACACGGTATCGAATTACATTTCGATCGAGTTGAAGAAATTGTTTTTTTGACTATTTTTCAGGACGAAAAAACGTTTCGTGTCTCGTATTTTTTTATCGTGCAGTTTGAAATATCGAGCAGCGGCCATATGCGAGCCAATAACCAACGGTTACGCGTACGCGGACGTTTCATATACGGTGGCGCGAGGGAAGAGAAAGGGTGGCTCGTGAAATATTGGCTACATAGATTTCGACCATTATTGCCGCGTGTAAAACACGGCGACATTTGGCGTTAAATCGATCAGGCCTGTTCGCGCCGTGTCACGGGGGATCCACACTTCTCGATCGACTTTTCGAAAATATTTTTGCAGTCGATTCGTGCGAGGAGGACGATTTTTCGAGGACGATCGATCATTTGTTGAAAAGAATTTATCCTGGAATGGAAAGATTTGATATATTTTTTTATTCAAGATGGAAAACGCAAGTAAGAAGAAATTTCAACATCTTCAACGAGATCTTTATCATCTTTTTGCGTATCGAAAACTCTTTAGAAAAAAGAAATTAAAAAACGTATAAATACAACTACTTGAAATCAGCTGATCGAAGAATTGAAAGTTTCTTGATATAAATAACGATTAGAAAAATTAATTACTATACTAGGTACGGATAATTATGCATAGTGTTTCACGTACAGATTTTACAATCCGAAGATTACAAGATTCTTTGTAAATAACACGTGTATTCTAAATTTCTTTCGAGAAGTATGGTAATATAAGATCAGCAGGGAAAGCTGCTGAATGATCGTCGCGGGGCGCAATGTATTTATGGAAGGCCGTATGGCCGTGGCCTAAGAATAACAACGGATAAAGTATTCTCGCCATGAATATTTCGTATCTTCTATGGGGATCTCCCAGCTCGAACGTCGTTCAAATTGAATTCTGATTTAACTGGCCGCGTCTTGCCAGCACAGAAATATCCTTTGCGCGCTGCTGGCGTCGCTTTCATCGCGGAACGAGGAGCAGGAGGGGAGGAGGAGGAGG